GCACCCCTAGGGGATCCTTTTCTGCCAAAGATGTTCTATGAAACTTCCTGCTCCCTCCTCCTCACATATGGCAAGGTTCACCCACCCGAGGTGAAAGGCAAGAGAAAATGCTGTACATGAAAACCCAGGGCGCACTGGGCAAAGGGAGCAGCAATCCCTCGCTCCTGACACAGACCCCCAGAATGCCAGCCTCCACCAAGGACGTTTCTGAGCACCCTTTCTGCTCCCTGCACTGTAACCACCATAACACTCAGCACCCTATTATTTTCCTTTCAGGCCAGAGCGCTGGACAAATGGTGCTCACCCTCCCAATGCCGCCAAGCTGTAAGAGAAACCATGTTTCCAAGAACTGAGGATGCTAAGAGCACTGGAGGCTTCCAAATGAATCACAGGTTTCAGGGTTCAGCGCAGGCAAACAATGGCAGAGGAATAAACAGCCACCTTGCCAAATTCTCCTGGTCATTGCTGGGGAAACCAGCAAGAACACGGAGAGCACAACCTGGCCAGCCAGCAGGCGCTGCAGGGGCACTTGCTATTTATTGGTGGCTGCCCAGAGGGCCGTGGGAACTCAGCACCCATATCCCCCTCCCAGCCTCATCCCCCATAGCAACCTCCAGCTTTGCACTGGCAACAACCCCCTTTCCCTTGTCCTACCAGCGGGCCCCTTCCTGCACTGCCTCTGTCCCTGGTGCATGTCCGATGGATGGGACACAGGCAACTTGCTCAGCTCTCCGTGGGGCCAGCTGGGAGCTACAACTCATGGCCAACTGTCCAGAGACACAAATGGAAAGCTCTGGGTGGGGGCTCCATAGGTTTCTTCTCTCTCTCTCTCTCTCTCTCTCTCTCTCTCTCTCTCTCTCTCTCTCTCTCTTTTAATAAGCAGTAAGGTAGGGTCAAAAATATTCAGCCTTCTGAATTCTATAAGACCATAGTGAAATGATTAAAGGCAGAGAAGCAGAGTCAGGCCAGCTAGCACAAAGCCACAAAGCCATCCCCACACCACACACACACACTCACTCACTCACACCCACCTCCACCCAAAATAAATTAACTGGAGAACTTTTGCATTAAGACTAATTCTAACCCATTCACAATTTAAATAATTACATTTTTACAAAACTCCATGACACTCATCTCAGTGCTAAAATAAGCAGTTAAATAAGTTGTTTATTTTCATTTAAAAGAATGCAGTATGAAATACTTGAATCAACTAATTTATTTTTCTTAAGGAAAATCAGTTGCACTTAGAAAAGTGGCTAGAATACCTATAAGTAAGAAATTATTAGACCTTTGTTATTGGCTACTGGTCCTTAACATTTATGCAATTAATGTTTTATGAACAAACAGATCTACATACTGATCCTAAACTCTAGTCCTCATGCTTTTTACAAACAACCCTGAAACCCATCAGTGTGGTCAGTCAGAGACCTGGTGTTGGTTTCCATTCTCAAGCATCTTAGTCCATGCTTGTACTGTCCACACATTTTTGATAGGTACTTTATTTTTTAAAAATCTCATTATTGATTTCAGAGAGGAAGGGTGAGGAAGAGATAGAAACATCAATGATGAAAGAGAATCATTGATTGGCTGCCTCCTGCACAGTCCCATTGGGGGACTGAAGAGTCCTGAATTCAATTCTGGTCAAGGGCACATGCTCAGGTTGCAGGCTCGATCCCATTATCGAGCCTGCAACCTGGGCATGTGCCGTTGACCAGAATTGAATTCAGGACCCTTCAGTCTGCAGGCTGATGCTCTACCCACTGAGCAATTCCAGCCAGGCCGGTACTTTTTAAAATAACACTGTATTTGGCATTGCTGACAGAAGTGACTATTTTGCATTAGCAAATGTATTGCCTGTCCTAAAAGTGCACATTGAATTGTAGATCATTGCTATGAGAAGTAACATGTACATTAAAGGAATTTTCTGATAATGAATTTGTACTCTCTGTAGGACATAAGCCGGGCCCTCTAAGTAAACCAATTTTTTTTTTTTATCTACATGTACTGATATCCATATTCCCTTTCTTTCATACCTCATTACTTTTTAAAAAATATATATTTTATTGATTTTTTACAGAGAGGAAGAGAGAGAGATAGAGAGTTAGAAACATCGATGAGAGTCATCGATCGGCTGCCTCTTGCACACCCCCTGCTGGGGATGTGCCCGCAACCAAGGTACATGCCCTTGACCGGAATCGAACCCGGAACCTTTCAGTCCCCAAGCCGACGCTCTATCCATTGAGCCAAACCGGTTTCGGCCATACCTCATTACTTTTTGAATTATGAAGTTTACAAAAGGGAGACGAAGAAAATGCTATAGACCTTTTTCACTTGAAGTGTATTTTTTTCCTCTTGGATTTTTGGGGTGGCTATAACACTGAATAAACAAACACCATTCAACAATGAATTTTAATTATACATTTTAATTATACAACTACCACCTCACCTGCCAGTTAGCAGAGAGCTGCTACTGATCATTAGCCTGCTTGATTCATATGAAAATGTTGTACTTAGTTTTCTGAAGCCCAGGGACCTGCAGAGCCTGACACCTCCACTTTTGTTCTTCTGTCTCAAGGCTGACTACTTGTGGTCTTTTGTAGGCCCATATGAATTTCAGGGTTATGGATGAACCTAGAGGATATTATGCTAAGGGAAACAACTGAAAGACTGCACTTTATAACTATGAAACCTCCATGTGCTATGCACTTTTCCATATATAGGTCATAGCTCACTATTTAATACAAGAATCCTATATAATAAGAGGCTAATATTAATATGCAAATCAACCAAAGGGCGGAACGACTGGTCACTATGACATGCACCAACCACCAGGGGGCAGATGCTCAATGCAGGAGCTGCCCCCTGGTGGTCAGTGTGCTCCCGCAGGGGGAGCATCACTCATCCAGATGTTGGACTCATGGCTGGCCTCTCTCGCCTCTGCAGCAGGCGGACATCCTCTGAGAGGTCCCAGACTGCAAGAGGGCACAGGCCGGGCTGAGGGTCTTCCCAACCCCCAGCGCATAAATGTTGGGCACTGGGCCTCTCATTACTAAATAAAAATAACTGGAGCCACTAGGTTGACTCATTAAATCCATGAAATTTCTGATTCCTAAACATTCGTAGCTAACACTTATACCCAAACCCAGTAGATATAAAACCCAACTTCCCAAGTTTCTTAGTCCCTTGTATCTGCAGGGCCATTAAACACTACAGGAGCCCTGGCCTGGTTGACCATACCCCCAAAAGGTGTGGGTTCGATTTCTGGTCTGAGCATATACCTAGGTTATAGGTTTGATCCCTGGTTGGGGCAATTCAGGAGGCAACCAATTGATGTTTCTATTTTACATCAGTGTTTCTCTTTCTCTCCCTCTTCCTTCCTCTCTTTAAATAAACACACACACACACACACACACACACACACACACACACACACCTCCTCCTCAGGTGAGGATGAAAAAGCAACAAAACACTAGAAATAAAATGGAAATTTCTGGGAAGATCAGATCCACCACCTCAGATAAGAATGTCAGCAGCCACCTGGGCCTGCCTTATTCCTTATTCTCCAAAAGGAAAAACAAAAGACTCCTCTTCTAGTCAACAAATATGTGCCATTCTCTTTCTACCATCCTGTTGTTATTTCACAGAATTTTTGTTTAATACCAAATGCTGATGAGGGCTCCCTAGTCCTAGCTAGGAGCAGGGCATCTGCCCTTTCTGGAGTCCAGCTTTCCATTCCTCTTCCTAAGAAACAGTTACCCCAGATGGTTGAGGGTAAAAGAGCCAGTGGAGGCCCCATGACCTCCTATCCTTGGGTCATGATAGAGGGTCACCCTCCAGTGCAAACATATACAAAGTCAACCTCCTCAGAACAGGGAGCAGAAAATTGGTCACATGCACATGGCCTAGTGGAAGAAAGGAGCCTCGTCACTAAAGTTAACGAGGATGGGCACATTAACAAGCCTCCAGGGGAGACCATGGGTGTCGCATTCAGAACAACTTGGCTTCAAATCCCAGCTTTGCTACTTAATGCTGCTGTGACCTTGAGAAAAACACAAAGTTTAAGAATGAAATAAGCCCTAGCTGGTTTGGCTCACTGGATAGAACATCGGCCTGGGGACTGAAGGGTCCCAGGTTTGATTCCAGTCAAGGACATGTACCTTGGCTGCAGGCACATCCCCAGTAGAGGCTGTGCAGGAGGCAGCTGATTGATGCTTCTCTCTCATCAATGTTTCTAACTATCCCACTCCCTTCCTCTCTGTAACAAATCAATAATATATATATATATATATATATATATATATATATATTTTAAAGAATAAAGATCCTAGAGAAAACAACACACCAAATGATTTACAAGTAACAGCTGAAAACTATGAAATGTTCCTACTGTGACCTCAACTCTTACAGGAGAGCCTGCTGCTGTAAGGAGGGGTGGGCACAGCTGGCAGGAGCAGGTTACACTGAAGCCCTGTGACAGTGGGTTTTCCATTTTTAAGAATGTACTCTTTGGCTCTCCCTCTCTAGAACACCCTTGTACCTTTCTCTTCCCTTCCATCTTCCCCCCAGACACGTGACCTCTGCCTTCCTCTCTCTGACCTCTGCCTTCCTCTCTCTCAGCTCTTGGTGCTCTTCTGCCTCTGAAGCTTGTTTCCTGAGTCTACACAGCCTAGTCGCTCACTTCTACTACCTCTGCAACTTTCTACATACACTTTCCCTTATAATTTGAAAAAAAACACAAATTGTTATTAAGGTGGCACAGACCTTTGTTTAAAGGTGTCACAGGCTAAGACACGTGTAACCATATTAAGCAGAGCTAAGGAGCCACACCCTGCGCTGCCGATCTGGACTGCGCTTTGCACGGAGGAGGGCCAGCTTTCAGCTCTCCCACAGCTGCCACTGAGTCCGGTGATCTTCAACCAGTCTTCCAAGGAGGAGGCACTGAAAGCTCTGCGGAGCACTTAGCTCCCCCGACCCAGCTGCAGAAGGTCCCCCGTACCTACCATAATGGTGTGCTCAGGGAATCTGGCGCGGACCAGCTTCACGAATTCCACGAAGTGCTCTGAATAGCCATTGGCCACATCCAGGCAAATAAACTTCACCTGTGGCACCGCTTCCAGGATGCTGCTCATCTTCTCCAGGTCCTTCTTCCCGCTGCCGGAGCTCACGGCCACGTGCTGTGCCAACAGAAACCAAGAGGGCGAGGCGTGGACAGTGAGAAGTCTTCAGAGCCAGGCCCTGCCTCCATCCACCCACCTGTTCTGGGGACAGTGCAGTGACCCTCGGAGGCCAGCTACCCTGATGAAACCTGCACAGAGCGGCCCTGCTGGAGAAGCAGGCAGCAGCAGAGGGGAAGGAAGTCCTTGGTGACGTCATCCAAACTCTGCCCCTGCTCCTTCCCACCATCAAACTGCATATATCCTTGACCTTGGCCTTCAGCCACGAATGGTTCTAGCAAACAGTTTGTTAAGTAGACAGGAAACCTTGTCCATTGGTTCGTTCACGTGTCTTTAGCTCTCTATGTGGGACTCTGAATTATGGACCCATTGGTGAGAATTCTCTCCTTGTGGAGGAGAGGAGGCAGGAAAAATGATGGGGAGGCCAGTCAACTCAGACCTCCTGACACCCACGCTGTGGCCATCACCCCCAGATCTGCTTTGGGGCTCAAGAGGAGGGAGGGAAAGGTGTCTAAAACTCCCCCGATAAAACCCTTTTCTGTTTTCATTTCCACTCCCAATACAATACTAACACCACATGCAAATCGTAACCCAAAGAGCTGCAAATCTCGGTGTTCCTACTAAAAGGGCCAAGAACAAAGGAGCCTGAACACATCATTGCCCAGCTGCCCTGGGATGTGTTTACAGCCACCGCACCCCCTCCATGACCCCCTCCCCAACCTCCACAGCACCAGCACCCTCCAACCCACCCATCAGCTCCTCGGAAAGATGCTCTTTGGGGAAAGACCTGTGTTTAGTAATGTATGCCTCAATGAAACTAAACCATGGGACTGTGCCCAGAGTCAGCATCATCTCACCTTTATAAGATTATGAGAATATTTTAACTTGTTTTCTCTCATCCATAAACCACAGAGGAGGGACATATATTAATATCCTTGCTATTCCCCAAAAAATCACAACAATGTAGCCGCAGCCCAGTGACTGTAAGAGGACTGTAACAGGCTGCCTGCTGACTCATTTCCTGCGTTTACTCCTCTTTCACTCGTGTTGGCAACGTGACCAAGTGCCGCCCGACCAACGCATCTTTGCCCTCCCACGAGAGCTTTGCTCTTTTTCATTTTCCCTTCCATTTCTGCTTCTCTCAGTGCTGCTATTTTTAACATTTTCCCTTTTCAGAAAAATCAGCCTTTAGTTTGGAGGGGGCTGAGTAATAAGTAAAACCACCTCACTCGCTCATGGGAGCCAGGGTTTTAATTAGCCACTCCTGGCCCCACACTCATTGCCTTCCCGACTTCTAACAGGAAGAGGGAAAGAGAAGGTGAAGCAAGTATAGTTCGTGTGAACACAGTATGTCAAAAAGGGAGGATTTGCTATCGAGCCAGAATTGTTTTATCTCCAAAACCACCTTCTCACTAATCAAAATCCACACATAATTAAAATGTAGCAAAAAAAAAAAAAAAAAAAAAAAAAAAGCCGGCACAACCTCAAACTCCGCCCTCTGTGAAGTCATTTTGCAATCATGGGTAATCTGATCGGAGGAGAGTGTGTCCAAGGCGGACACTCTGCTGGCCTGGGCTCCGAACCAACCTCATGCCAGGAAGGAACTCGGGCACAACAGAGTGGGGCTTTTTGTTATTCTCAAATTGCCCTTAAAGAAACTGTAAGAGCTTTATTGAGATAAAATCACATACCATCCCATTCACCCATTTAAAGTGCACAGTCCAGTGGTTTTTAGTGTATTCAGAGCGGTGAACCACCATGATGATCAGTGGTAGGCCATCCTCGCCATCCCTAAAGGAAACTCTCTTGTAGGCCTTACCCGCCCACCCTCCCATCGCTCAAGCAACCACTAATGTACCTTCTGTCTCTAAGGTTTGCCTATTCTTGATGGTTAACGTAAACAATCACATATGTGGCCTTTTACTGTATCTGGCTTTTTCACTTTGCCAAGTGTTTTCAAGGCTCATTCAGCTGTAGATGTGTCAGTACTTTTAACAATTGAGTAACATTCCATTGTGTGTCTATACCAGTTTTCATTCATCCGTTAGTTGATGGATACCTGGCTAACTTCTACCTTTTGGCTATTATGAACAATGCTGCTATAAACACCTCTGTATACATTTTGATGTTTTTTTGTGGGGTTTTTTTGTTTGTTTGTTTGTTTTCTCTCAGGCCTATAATGAAGACTGGAATTGCTGAGTCATAAGATAGCTCTTATAATTTAACCTTTTTGAAGAACTGCCAAACTTTTTTTTCCAAAGCAGCTGCACCATTTTACCTTCCCACTAGCAATACAGGAGGGTTCCAATCTCTCCACTTCCATGCCAACACTAGTTACTCTCTGTCTTTCAATTATAGCCCTCCTAGCGGGCATACTGCTTACTCAACTCCAAAACAACCCGCTACAATTAGATGTTTTTCCTACATCCAGAAAGAATGTTTGGATTGGATCTATCCCTGGCAGGAAACAGAGGTCTTCCACAAGCTCTCATAACATAACACTTCACCTTTCAAGGGAAAAACACAGACTCCTTGCAAGTAAATCCCAATACTTTCAAAACAGGATACAGAACAGATTTCCTCAGCAAATCCCTGGCAATGACGAAGGGCTGGGGGACCACTACTGCGGTTACCCAGGTCTCTCTCAGGTGTAGGTGTGTGTGTGTGTGTGTGTGTTTATCTGCTGCCGATTCAAATTCTTCAGACAACCCCAAAGATTTTCTACCCTTTGCAACAAATACCTGCAGGCATTCTGGGTGATCTGCGGCGAAATGCTTCCAGTCGTCCAGGGTGTAATGCTTGTGAACCGCTGTAAACATGGAGTGCTAGGGAACGAAACAGCACCATTAGGATGAGAAGTCAAGTGAGCCTCCTTCCTCTGTAAGGTGGAGGTCAGCCAACAATACAAAAGCATTGGAGGTTTCTGCCATCACGTTTAATTAGCTTTGAATATGCTTCTAGGAGCCAAAAAACAGACAAAGGTGAAACCAGTGACATCACAAAGGGGTTTTCCATTCTAATACCACATTCAGTATGTAGGAGGCTCTGCCAGGAGGCAGGGGAGGGAGGGGGAGAGTTTGAGCCCTGACCCATTGACCACCCGCATTAGGCAGGTCCCCTGCCCAAACGAAGGGCCTCCTTAAGGCCAATTGTGCTTAGCCAATCCGAGAGAACCTCAACTTATACCTAAAAGCTTTTCCTTGTGGTCACAACCTAAGTATTTCTTGCTAAAAGCTAAACCCATCAGGCAGTGGGTATGCCTAAGGAAGGAAATTATATAAATTATAACAGGAAGTCTATGACTACCAACCTGGCATTTATTGAGTACCTACCTTGTGCAAGCAGTGTGCATACATTATTTCATTCACTTCTCAGAACAACTTTGTACACCAATATTAGCTTTGTGGGCAGAAAAGAGCGTAGGAAGTTTAAATGTAAGACATTTCACAATTGCTTGGCCAGTAAGGGGCAAAGGCAGAATCAGACTCAAATCTGACAGCCGAGCGCAGGCTCCTTCCCCTACACCAGGGCCTCTCTCATCACTTCTCTGGTCCTTTTCTCCACCAGCAGCTTCCCATTCTAAACTTCCATGACTTCATTCACTCGCACTAACTCAATGGATCCCAGAAATAGAAACTGCATAGTATCCTTGCATGGGGAGCTATTTCAGTGTATTCTGCCTCATTAATGGGGAGTCTTTCCCGGGAAAATGGGAAAAGCATAACAAAGTGTATATTTTTCATGGACTAATAATCTGATATGTGAATTAATCAGGGCTATTTATTGCTCCCTGATTCCACTCACTTTTACACCAATACATAATTCATTAGTAGTGATGGCTGATCACAGAGCAGAGCAAGGAACAGATGGGGAGGAAAAAAAAATACAAATTCCTTCAGCAATTAATTTATTAGCCTCTGGCCCAAAGCTCAGTGGGGACTGAAGGCTGACGATAATACAACTGGCAGATCGTGGAGTCAGACAGACCACCTCCTACGCCATGCTTTGAGCTCATAATTTGTTTAAAGATCTTCCTGCTAATCACTGGCTAATAATGACTCCCAGCACCTCCTGAGGTTAGACTTGCTGCCCACAGCCAGAAGCTCTTTCAACTAATTGGATTTATTTTTTTTTCACTTGGCTGGATTATCAGGGGAAATTGATGTGCACACCCTGCGCCCATGGCAAGTGGATGTCTGCATCTCGGATGAATAGAGTGCCTTGCACCTGGGACACGGCTGCGTGAGACACAGTCCTGCCCACAGAAAGCTTCTCCTTTACTTTCCCCAAGGCCGAGATACTAGCTACTCCATTTACAGGAAATTGGACTGGCAGTTGGTTAAGGGGGACTGTGCCATTGTACTGTGATTCGTCCGTGTAAATTGAGAGGCAAATCCCTTATTCTGGAGTCAGTTTGGGTTTGAAACTTAAATTTGTCTCTACGTGGCTGAACGCCCTGGGCCAAATTATCTTTCCTCTCCCTCACTGCCTCAGTTTCCTCACCTGGTGAAGCTGTGACAACATTACATCATCATATCCAGAGTTTGGCATGAAAAGTGCTCAGTGAGTGTTTTCTGCATGATGTAATGACGCTACAGCACAGACTGCACACGAAGCAGTTGTGTGTTCATTTAAGGGCACCCTCTCTCTCTTCTATATTATGGCACTCAGCTAACTTTACAATGTGACACAATGTCCACCTTCTTTCTGTAGCTTTAATTTCCAAACTATCATGGGTAGCTTCAACGAATAGGCCAGTGATTGGCAACCTATTAGTCAACAGAGCCAAATACCAACAGTACAACGATTGAAATTTCATTTGAGAGCCAAATTTTTTAAACTTAAACTTCTTCTAATACCACTTCTTCAAAATAGACTTGCCCAGGCCGTGGTATTTTGTGGAAGAGCCACACTCAAGGGGCCAGAGAGCTACATGTGGCTCACGAGCCTCAGTTCGCTGACCACGGCTCTAGGCCATCTCACGGACTGCAAAGTCCAGACTCCACCCATTTTTTCTAAATGAAAAGCAAGGAAGAACAGAAGTGCCTCCCACAACAATCATACTTGGAACCAAATAGTTCAGTCTCAGCCAAGGATCCAAGTGTCTCCCTTTTCTTCTCTTCCCTGTGTCCACACAAGACCAGGATGGGCTCCTGACAAGATCCAGTGTGAATGGCGGAAGGAAAAAGCCCACTGCCCTACCTGTGACATCACTGCTGCCATCTCAAATGTCCCCACGGTGTCCATGTTGGCCACAATGATGGGAATCCCTGAGTAGGTCTGCTTGGAGTTTCGAAATGTGAAGGTCCGCTCCAGGTCCACCTATTGGCAGAAAGGAAAAAGAACTGCTTTGCTCTTTGCATGATTTGCAGGATTTTCTAGAATCGAAAGCAAGTGGAAAGAACACAAAGGAAGTGTATGCCCCTTAGTCCCTGGATTCGCTTAGTGCTGGGCCAGGTGTCCCAAAGACAGGAGAGTCCCTGAGGAGACCGAGTAGTGGCTGTTACCCAGGTACAAAAGCTGAACCCGGCTCCTCAGCATCCTCGAGTGCCAGCACTGTCACTCATCATTTGCCATCCATCCAGCCTCTGGATCCGAAGTCCTATTCTTCAGGAGCCTCTCTCATAGCACTGCCTCCTCTGTCCCCAGCCTGGCTCATCCGACCCCACACCTCCATACACATTCCCCACTTCCCAACACTGGAGAACCAGTCCCCCCTCAGAGAAAATCCATCCCACTCTGCCCTGCCAAGCATGGCCCTTCCTGTCCTTCTCCCTTTCCCCTCCAAATTCACCCTCCAGCCAGCTGCAAACCATTAATCCCTCCACCTTCCAGCCTCCTTGGCTGCTTTGTAATCAGGAGCATCTTTCAAAGAGCTGGGGAGAGGGCACTTCAACCACCTGTGCACATAAACACGTGTTCCTCTGACTCAAAAAGGGCCCTCCAACTTCAGCGTTGCATTGAGGACATTGAGGACTAAGTTCACTCTCAGGAGAGTTGGGCTAGGATGGCAGGTTCAGCAAAAGCAGAGTGCTAGGTGCTCATCCAGAGCCAGCAGAGTGAAATTACTTCTGGGGCAGACTGCAGGCCAGTGAGATCACAGCTCCATTCCTCACCCTTCTCCTACCATGGACCATCACAGGGAGGCCCCTGCAGGCTCCTCCCCCAGGTTGGTTTCTGGCTGTGGTCAGCCAATGGGGATCCCTGAGGAGGAAACTGGGGGAGAGTGAGCCTGAGTGTAGTCAGGGTCGCTCTCCCAGGACCCCTCTGCCCAGGCCTGCAGGATCTTGGTTCCAGCTTTCAGAGCCATCTCAGTCCCGGGGCCTAGAAAGATCGCCTTCCCCAGATTTGGAAGTGGCTTCTCTCTGCTGCCAACCTCTGGAGTGTCTCAATATCGCATTTGGCATCTCAACAATGTCAGGAGGTCTTGCATTAAATTCCTGCTTTAAATATGAAGTAGTTTGTTTCCTTGGCTGGATCTGATGGACACAGAACCTACTGGGAGTAGGCACTTCCCTGGGGAGAACCAGCAAAAGAAACACAGGGATGTATCTCAAGCTTCTGAAATAAGTCGGACCTATCTCCCTGAATCCTGGCCTTCGTGAGTACACTGGCAAATAACCATTTCTGCCAGTGTTTATCTAGTTTCTTCTTTTATTCTTTTCAGTTGAGACAAGTTTCACTTTGTCAATAGTAAAATGTCAAAAAAGAACAAAAACAAAACAAAACACCATGGGACATCTCAGGCCGCCTTGCCTTTTCATGTCTCTGCTTCTCCACACACAACTCCCTGCCCACCCGGCTTCCTGGGTGAACGATGATGTAAGTAGGTCCGTATGGACCTTAAACAGCAACAAGGAGGGGGAATGAGATGCTGTCACTGCCTGGGCATAGGGGGGAGGTCTCCCCTTCTCCAGTTCTTCCTTATGAGTCTTGGTTCTACTTCAGTGAAGCAAGCCACAGTTAGGATCTGAAAGATAACTGAAGAGGTCGTATTTGTTGCCACCTTCTGTGTTGGTTAATGGCCCTCACATTTTGACCTCTATGGCTTAAAAAAATCAGAATTTCTTGGTGTCAAATTACTCTTCCCAAGATGCCTGGGGAGAGATGCTATCCTGCCCCCAGCCGAGTGCACAATGGGTTTTGGGGGCCACTCCAAAACCGATGGGCGGGACACAAAAACAGAGCCCTTCATGGGAAAGGTCAGCCTTGGCAAAGGACTCTCCCCCCACTTCTAGTCTTCTCCATACAGTAGGTTCTATGCAATCCTTAATTCTAAAAGTGATAAATGAGAAGATCTCCCCATTCTTATCAACACACACACACACCAGACCAGTTGTTCACTGAGAGATATCTAATTCCAGTCTCCCAGGAACAAAACTGGGAATTTAATCTGCCACGGCTGGTCAGGGCACCAAATATAGCACCTCCAAATTGTCACTCGGCTGAACTGATGTGACAGGGAACATAAAGTAATAAACCGCCCCTCCCCCACCCACAGCCCTTCAAACCTACCTTCATGCAAGTCAGCCTGCATGAGAGGAGGCCCGAAAGGACAAACTGTGGCCCTCCTACAGCAGTCCTAATTGCCTCATTGAAGTCAAACTAGCAAGCTATTCTATGGATCTTGCTCTATCCTTCTACCTTCACAAACACAGTTTCGTTGCTGACCAGGAGAGCACCAGGACCTGGTGTCACGGGGAGCCAGCCGGGCCTGCAAGCCACTTCCACTTCCTTCCTCCCAAGTCCTGTGTGCATAAACATGGACACCCAGTCCACACATTACGTTCCACACACACACATCTCCATTCCCACAAACACCTGCCATTTGGCCACTCTTAGGTTATAGGCAACATTACCAGCAGCACGGATGGCCTCTGAGGAAACACGCTTGGCAAACTGACCTTTGCGAGCCTTGGGATCAGCTCCAAGTCACGAGGCAGGGGAATCCACGCTCCTGAGTACCGGGAGAGGGCCCAAAAGGAAGAGCACAGCCACGGGCCCTGTCCAGTGAGGAGGGGTCAGGACACCCTTCTGCCTAGACCTGTGGATGGCCCTAATTAAAGCAATTCTCTTATTAACTGCCTTGTTCCCGTGATGCCAGAATTTAGGATGACTATTAATAAGTCTCAAGGGCAAACTCTACACAGAGTAGGAATAGTCCTATCTGAACCCATTTTCGTACATGGTCAGTTATATATTGCTTTCTCTCAAGTTTGAAGACCATATGATGTTAAAGTTGTAAATACTTCATCACAAGAGAAATTAGTCAAGCACTCTGAAAGTGTTTTCACTCTTAATGAGGTGTACAGGAAGATATTAAAATAAGTTTAATCGATTTATCAGTCATTGTATCAGTGTTGTTTTTACAAAGTTTTTGTTGTTTTTATATCATGTCTTTGTTGTTGTATCATGACATGTTGTGATTATTATTTATTAATAAGCTTATATATTATTTTCAAATACATCTTACTAATTTTCTTTCATCTCTGACACTTCTATTATAGAAAAAGGGCAAATAGCAATATTAAAATATTTCCTCTAATTAACTCCTCTTTAATGTGCACGAATTTTGGGCACCAGGCCACTAATCTATCAATAAAGACAAAGTCTTTATTGATAGATTAGTGTGACTCAGTGATTAGAGCATCAGCCAGTGTGACTCAGTGATTAGAGCATCAGCCTTACATACCGAAGGGTTGGTTTCATTCCCTGTCAAGGGCACATACCTGAGTTGCAAGTTCCATCTCTGCCCAGGCTACAGTTGGGGTGCATGCAGGAGGCAACCAATGGATGTGTCTCTCTCACATTAGTGTTCCTCTCCCCACACCTCTCTCTCTTTTTCTAAAAAATAATAAATAAATCAATGGGAAAAAAATATCCTTTGGTGAAGATTAACAACAACAACAAAAAGACAAGGTCTTGCCTCAGTCAACAAACATATCAATTCTTCTGGGAAGATGACTCAACTGCCCCCACACAGACCTGTGGCACTTATATTCTTGTGTGCTAGGGGCTTGATTGAAACTATGGATGTTCCAGCCCACTGTGTCTTGTGGGTGAAGGCAATGAATGGATGACCAGTTGAGAGATGGCTGCCCATCTGGTGCAACCACTGAAAGGCCTCCTGGGTCATCTCCACCTGGACCCTTTGCCTCTGGAAGGTGACTTCCATTTTATATGACACGTGTGGAAATGCCCCACCATGAATGCTCAAACTTCCGGGCTGGGAGAACACTCTGTCCTTCTCTCCACTTCCTGCTCACAATATCTGGCTCTTAGCAACACTGTTGCAGTGATCAATCTTGTCAACCTTCAAAACTCTCTCTTCTGGGCAAGACTGCTCTCGGGTATGTTTTCTGTCCTGGCTCCACTCAAATCTGCTTTCTGATTCAGCTCAAAGTCTGGCCATTGACCAGTCATTTACCTTCAAATTTTCATTCCAGTATGACTCCTGCCAGGGAGCAGACATTTGGCTTCTATCTGATTGTGCAATGAAAATATTTTAATCTGCCTCTAAAACATTTCAGGCATCCTCCAGCAAACTGAGAAAACACTGAGAGGGAATCAGAAGCCTAGCTTGACCTAGGACTCACTACATCCCTCAACACCACTGAAGCAGGCAGTCTGATTATGAGGGGTAGCCAGCCAGACAGCTGCCTCGGGCAACAGGGAGATAAACTATTACAGGAACCAATTGGAAAGGCAATGCCAGTTAACTCAGGTTTCCTGGCACAGAGCTGGCAAATTCCCACAAAACTGGAAATATGAAAACCTTTCCCTAGGACACAGAGTTCTCATTGCAATGCTTACATGTAGCTTATAGAGTATCAACAGAGGCGGGTCATTAATAGTTTCAATCAGCCCAAATTATCAAGCCAAATGATATATGATACCATACTCTTTCCCTGGGAAAGAGTAATTCATTCTATTACATAAATTCTAAATGTTTTACCTTCTCAAGGTGTTTCCTGGTTCAGAAAATACATATAATCTATCCTTGTTTTAAAAATACAATTTTTCTTAAAAGTTCCTCGCTACTTAGTGAGTTCTGAACAAATATTTAAAGAATATTGAGACCACCAAATTATTACCCTTCCTAGAATCCCTATGTTTCATCTTGGTCTGGTCTTAGGCACTGACACAGCTTATACCTGGGGAAGCCCAGGCTGGCCATGCAAACTGTTTATTCTTCTTTAAAGTCTGTGTCTCTTTAACGCTTGAATGAACACGAAGAACAGGCACAGTCACCCAACTAGCTAGCATGACAAGGGTTAACGTTCCTCTCCTGCCTATTCTATCCTGTGCTGTCCCAACCTGTCTGGCCGCAGACCACCAACCCTCCTGCTTGAGACTGAGAAGGTGGCTTGGTTCTGGTCACTGGCTAAGGCAGGAGGCCTCCCTAATCTAAACAAGCCCTTGGCTGGCAGCACCAGGCACTGCAGTTGAGCTTGGGCACCGGTGGGCAGCCGGCCGGTTTATTTATGGTCTTTAGTCTGGGGTGTAAAGAACAGCGTGCTGGCTCAGCCTCCTCCTGTTTACTCCTGTGGCCGCAGCCTCCAGACCCCGTCCAGCTCCCTCGCCTCCCTCTCCAGCCCTCAGCAGACCAGGCAAAGCCATGGTCACCAGCACACACCACTCCAGGGAACCCTGCCTTTCTGTGCTGCTAGTTTAACCTTCAGAGTTTGACCTTCCTCCTCACCAGTAGGGGCATCCCAACCCCCACACCGAGGCTATTTCCAGTCCAGTCCTCCACCTGTTCTTCAAGCTTGGATCCAGTTTGCACCCCCCCCCCCCCCCGCCCCAACTCCACGCCTGCACCCCATTGCTTTCAGCCTCTCAGCCTCGCTAGGACTGGGCAGTCGTCCAGTCAGGAGGGTGCCACTCGGCACGGATCCCACCCTCCTAGCAAGGCCACTGAAACGCCCGAGAGTAAACCCTGAAGTTTCCCTGAATTGCAAATATTTTAAAGAAATTCTACTGCTGGATCTGACACTAAACCAATAGCAGTTTTCTGCACTAAGAAGCAGCGTCAAAATCACAAGTGTCTTCCGTTGTTTTTTCATTTTATGATCTGGCTTCCCTGTGTCCCTTTTCCCCTAAACGCACCCCTCCTGCCTCCCCATTCTGGCTCCTCGTTGGCCCCCTGGATCTTTGCTCCCCTGCGGTCTAGTCCCAATGCGGACTGGCCCCGGCCCCCTCCTCCCTCCCACCTAAAATAAGCTTTACTATGTTAGGGCCCCCTGGCCCCTTGGAGACACCTCTTCCCGGCAGGGAGCCAGAGGGCTCTCCCCTGTCTCCTGTCGCACCCCAGCCACCCTCAGCCACAGCAAGGCAGGCAGGGTACCTTAACCACATTGCTCCCCTTCCACCGCCTGCCCTGCCGCCAAGAACCGGCCCAGCTACCCCCAGGGAGCGTCCCACCTCAGCTCGGCTCTTGAGGCTGCTGCGCTTGGGCCGCAGGAGGACATCCTTGAAGTCCAGCTTGAGGTCCGCATCGATGCGGGGCATGGTGCGGGTCCGCTAACCCGCAGCCCGCAGCTCCTTCCTGCGGCGCCGGCGCGGGGCGGGCAGGCCGGGCGCGGGGCGGGGCGGCGGGCGGGGGCGGGGAGGGCGCGGGAGGCGGGCGCGGGGCGGGAGCAGGTGCGGCAGCCGGTGCTCAGTGCTCGGTGCTCGCGGGAGACCCTGCGCGCTGTGCGCTTAGGACCGGGACGCCGCGCCCGCCCCTCTCCTGGGGCCCCGGTGGGAAGGGGAAGGGGTGGGAAGGGGACGGCCGGCGGGTTAGGGACCCATCAGTGGCCGCAAAGTCCGTCTGACATTTTTAGCAGCCCCCTCCCTTCCTGCCTCTCTCCCTCCGTTTATAGCAGCAGGTTAAGGAGCCTGAATTGTTGGCGGGGAAGTGGGGAGGGGGGAAGAGGCGGGCTGGACACAACCCTTCTCATTCTGAGGTTCCTATGGCGTGTGACAGCCTTTCCCAGGGGAAAAGGCCACTCTTTGAAAGGTTCTGCGTCACCTTTCTCTAATTTTAAGCCCACTGTGTCCACCAAGTGCTGAGTCAGACTTTCACATGCCAAAAAGAAAAAAAGAGAAGAGAAGAAGAGAAGAGAAGAAGAGAAGAGAAGAAGAGAGGAGAGGGGAGGGGAGGGGAGGGGAGGGGAGGGGAGGGGAGGGGAGGAGAGGAGAGAAGTGAAGGAGAGGGGAGGGGAGGGGAGGGGAGGGGAGGGGAGGGGAGGGGAGGGGAGGGGAGGGGAGGGAAGGAAAAGAAACCCTTCGAAAGACCCATAGAATTAAGGAAAAGAGTGTGGCCAGGTAAATCTATTTAGCAGCAATGGTATTGACACAGTTTTCTGACCTCTGGGTTTCAGAGTGGGTTGGTTTTTTTGTGTGTGGGAGTGGTGATTGGGAAGAGGTGGTTAATCCTCACCCAAGGATATGTTTTCCAGAGGGGGATAGAATTGACCACATCCAGGCACATGCCTTGGGGGGAGAGGGTGAATCAAACTTGCAATCCAGGTAGTTCCCAGGACCCTTGGTGTGGGCTCCTGCTCTAACCACTGAACCACACCAGCAGTGCATGGTGGGTTTTAATAAAAGTAGTGAAGCCCATAATCATCATAGAACCTGGGATTTAACGGACCTGAGCCCCCTCTCTAGAGTTACCTGTGATGTCAGTTTATTTTTAATTCACTTGTTGACCTTGGGAGTCTTAGGGGGCTTAGGAATGTGCTTAATAGTGCTTGGCCTGCATTTGCTCATTCACTCTCCCAATGACCCAATGAAGAAGGAGCCACTTTGCAGATAAAGAAGATGAGGATCATATACATGAAATATCTTCCCTGTGCTTGCAGTAAAAAATATAGATATCTCAGTCCTTAATACAATACAAATTGAGCTAATGCTGCTTTTGCCTTGAGACCCTTCTCTGCCTGGCTGCAAAATCTGACCCCTCCTATTTCTAGATGGATGACTTTGGGGGAGTCACTTAATTTCTCAGTTTCCTCATAGGTTAAAAAGAGAAGGGGAGGAAAAGAATACTATCTTCTTCCAGGCTTATGTGATTAATTAATTAATTAATTAATTGTGTGTATGTGCATGATGCATATGCATGTTAATAACCACTATAAAATAGTCCATATCCTAATGGACACACACAATGTATATTCCATAGTTGCTCAAAAGTAGTAGCTAGCTATTGGAGGTCACATGTTACATTATATGAATAATCCTATCTAATAAAAGAGTAATATGCAAATTGACTGTCACACACAAGATGGCTGCCCCCATGTGGACACAATATGGCTGCCACAAGATGGCCAGCAGGGGAGGGCCGTTAGGGGTGACCAGGCTAGCAGGGGAGGGCAGTTGGGGGACCAGGCTAGCAGGGGAGAGCAGTTGGGGAAAACCAGGCCTACAGGGGGGTACTAGGCCAGCAGGGAAGGTCAGTTAGGGAAGACCAAGCCTACAGGGAAGGGCAGTTGGGGCAAACCAGACCTGCAGGGGAGGGCAGATAGGGGGGACCAGGCTGGCAGGGGAGAAGTTAGGTGTCAATCAGGCTGGCAGGGAAGTGGTTAGGGGCAATCAGGCAGGCAGGCAGGCAGAAGAGTGGTTGGAAGCCATAGTCCTGGATTGTGAGAGGGATGCCCCAGATTGAAGAGAGTGCAGGCCTGGCTGAGGGACACAACCACACTCTTGTGCATGAATTTCATGCACTGGGCCTCCAGTACTATATATCCTCAAATTAGTTTGCTAAATGCTCAAAAGCAATTGTCTGCAGCCTTGACCTGTTCTCAATGAATTCATATTTTGTATGGCAACCCTAAAGACACATCACAATATTCATTTAACATAAATGTCTTTAGAGATAAAGGTTATGGGGGAAGAAAATTATCTTCCTTCCACCTCTCTAAATTCTTCTGGCTGGCCTAATAATCAAATTCACATGAGACAGATTGACAGGAGAAAATAACCAAATTGAGTAGATAGGTACATACAGAGGCTCCATGAGACTATGTGATTCAGGGACAAACTGGACACTTACGCCTTGTAAATTGGGGTTGTGGTTTGAAACTTCAAAGGACAGGAAGGCATTTCACATGGAGAAGGAAAAGCAAATAATGGTTAATAAATGTTTGCTGGGCCATCTGAAATGATGGGACACAGAGAGGACTTGGATTAAAGGGGCCTTGCTAGCTTCCTCCTATCTATCACACACCTGTTCTATTATAGTTAAACTTATTACCTTATTACCTATGATATGACCTCCCTTCCTAGAGCAGGACCTCTACCAAAATGCTTTTAGGCAGTTAGGAGGAAGTTTAAAAGTTTTCCCTGTGAAAGAAAAAAAAAAAAGTTTTCCCTGTGTTTTTTGTTTCTTAAAAAATAACCACTACAAAATAGTCCATATCCTAAAGAGGCAGGTTTTGGGGTGGCAAAGTTTGCTTCCCCTCAAGGTCTTAGCCCATCCCACTTGCTCTCGTCATCTCTGCCCTGTAGGAAGTCCTTGGTGTTTCATGGGAGGAAAACTAAAGTTATCAGGGAGAGAATGAAAGTAACCACAATTAGTCCAGCCAACAAAATAGGACTCTTATCAAATTGCTGGGAGCCAGCCAGATGTGCTGCTTATTTCCAAAGTAGTGAGGGAGCCTAATTCTGATCTTGAGTCCCTAATTAAAAAGAAAAGAAAAGAAAAACACAATTACTGTATGATGTGGTTATTTAAAAATAATTCTCCCTAAAGGAAAAAGAAACCAGCCTTGTTAAGCATCTGCCTGATGTAAAGTGTAGGGGTGAGTGAGGGCTTTATATTTATTTTTAGTACACTATCTTAAGGGAAAAGCATCTTTAGGTTGAACTTGCTTATGTACCTCTCTCTGTTAGTTCCTTTCAATTAGAATAAAGACAGAGCTCACATTCCACTTTACATTCCCTCTCCTTCTGGAATATTTCATCATACCTGCTCTCCTGTCAGGCACAAAACCATACTCTATAGAGTCAACATGAGTCCCTGATTCTCCCACACCAACCTAGGCTCCATTAGAAGTCCATTGTACTTTCTACGTAATCCTGCTATGCTTCTTCTTACACTAATAACAATAAAAGTCACCCCTCAGTACAAGGACTTCACATTAAAGTTCTGACTGACTAGACAAAGCCATAAAAGATATCTAGAATCCAATCTGTTAACATTGTATTGTCTAGCTAGAGGCCCTGATTTCAGGCCAGGCCTAGGGACTGTTCCTGTGTACGAATTTTGTGCACTGGGCCTTGTCTGTCTTCTCCTCTTTATTTCTTCAGCCTTAAACACACTATACCCCCCAGACAAATACATGTGCATGCATACATACTCTTGAAACACATTGCATCTAAATTTTGGATTGTGTATTAATGTAAAATAATGTAAAATAGCATTAATGTAAAATAATCCATAGTAGAGGCCACAAGCTGACAGCCCATTGGAGATATGCTTGTGTTGATCAATAGAGTGCCTTTCAGTATTTTTGAAGTAGTTGCCAACATTCAAAAATTGATAATTTGCATATTGAAAATCTGAATGGCTGGGTCAATTTAAAAAATTGGGAGGCCTGTCCTAATTGGGCCTTCATCTTTTCAGAGGAATGCCATCTGCTAGAGATAATCAGGACTGTGTCCTCGGTTGGGGCAGATAGTATCTAATGCACAAACCATTGAGCCAACCTTTCTAGCACATAGATAGTCACTTAAGTTCTCAGCTCCTCATCAATAACAAACTAAGAAAAATGCTTCACTTTTCTAGCTCGGTTTGTGCAGAAAAAGTAGATATAAATTTCGTTTGCTTATTTTGGGGACAGGGAAATTTATGTGTGTGTTTATTTAGCTTATTTAATTAGACAACTCAATATCATCATGATAGAATTTAGACTACAAAATACAACACCAAAAGGAGGAAATTTGCCTTCAGGATATGTTTCTATCTTTTAAAGAACACTAGAGATTAAACTTATGATGGTATTATCAAGGTTACTATTATGAGTCAAAATTAGTCTGGTATAATCATTTTATTACCATCTTGATAATTTCATTCCTTTTTATTAAGATCTTCAGAGTTGGCAGAAAAAGAAGAAGTAAAAGTCTTATTATTTGCAGATGACATGATACTATACACAGAAAATCCTAAAGACTTCACCAAAAACTATTAGAAATAATGAATTCAGTTAAGCTTCAGGATACAAAATTGATATATAAAATCTGTTGCATTTTTATATACCAATAAGTAGTCACAATAAAAAATTAAGAAAACAATCCTATTTATAATTGCATAAAAAACCCCTAAAATATCTAGGAATAAATTTAATCAAAGAAGTGAAAGATCTGTACTTTGACAACAATAAGACATTGAAGAGAATAAAATTAAGTGGAAGGATATACCATGCTGATGGATGGTATTAATGTTATTAAAATATCTTTATAACCTAATGCAAGACACAGACTTAAAGCAGCCACTATTAAAAAACCAATGACATTCTTCTCAGAAC